CGCAGATGAACTTGGAATTTTGCTCGAGCATGGCCCACATGTCGGGTTCGCTAGGGCCTTGCAGCGGGTTGATCTGCGCGAGCAAGACAAGGGATGTATGGTAGAAGAGCCGCGCTATTATCGATGCTCTCTTGATTAGCCAGACTTCGGGGAACGCTGAACCGGATATTGTTTGTCCGGGGTACAGATACGCCATTGGGTGCATGGTGCGTGGTATGTTCTCGTTCCACCTGTCAGTCATGTCTTTGAGCCGAAGCCACTCGTTGTGCCGTTCCTGCAAGGTCTGCCTGGCGACTTCCTGGTTGCGCGGTATCGATGCACGGAAGTTGCATATCCTTGCAACGACATAGAGGATACGATGGGTCCAGACTTCTTCCTTGCCTGACTCAGTCTCTGGTGTAAAGTCCATCTCGATGCCCCATTCGTCGGGGTCCCAAGCGACCTGCCAGTTGAAGTGCAGACAGCTCAAGATCTCCATGCCGACGTTCAGCCAGAAACAGGCGGCTCCGATGCCTGTTGACCTAGCATTCCAGCGGCACTCTTTGATCAGAGCACGAGCTCCCGCGATATGGTTCATCCGTTGTAGCGCACGTTCTCCCATGATTTCGTAAACGTTGAGGATTACCGCCGTGGTGGCACATAGAATGGTATCGCGGTCGGGATCCTGCAGAGAGTGCAGAAGGTCTCGTGTGGCTACGTCGTAATAGTGGAGTGCTTTCTCCTCGCTGTACTTGGGATTAACAAGGGCGAGATGTCGTGCACCGCATGCGAGGAAGGCGTGTAAGAGCATAGGTTCGTTGAGCGCATGGAAGGGTAGTAGACGTGAGAAGTGCTTGTGTGCGTCCATGCTGTCCATCCAAATGCCAATTTCCTCGACAAAAACCTGCATGTATAAGACCTCTTCTTGGCTCTTCAGGTAGTCGCGCGTGGGGAGAGGTCCGGGACTGGCCGAATGCTCCATCGTGTATGGGGACGGTGTTGGGCCGTTTGAGAAACTCGATACTATAGAGTCAGCACGGTCAGCTGGAATGGACTGTTGACTTACTTGAACGCCCGTGTTGGTGCTGGGTCCGCTGTTGGTCGAAGTTGTAGGTGAGTTGCGCTTGCTGGTACGACTCCTGTGCGATGCCCTGGATGGGAGGAATGTGCTGGCGCGACGAAGCTGGCGGTCCCATGCCAAAGCCGTTGCTGCCCATATGAACATGTGCGTCCATGTCCTCTACTGGATACATTTCTCGCCCGCCCACGTATTCCGAAGCAATAGTCCGTGACTCGTCCATGAAAGCGATCTGATAATCGATGCCTTGGGGGATCAGGTATGCATTCCGCTCGCAGGTGGTGTCGAGGAAGTTGAGCTTCTTGCCCCAATTGCACTCGCGCTGTGACTTGAGGCAGTTGTTGCAGGTCGGTTTGGTCTCATCGCACTTGAGATGGCGCTCTCTGCATGTCAGGCAGCCGGTACGAGTCCTCTTAGGCTTGTCGTCGGGTGTGGCATCGCTGGCTCTCTTTCTCGAGGGCAATGGCTTGCTCGTGGGCGAGTCATTGTTGGAGGGTGGTGTCGCGGTGTTGGCCATGCTGACGCTCGCTCGGGGACAGGCGTTGCGCCGTCGCTCGCCGTGGCAGGGCGATCACGACCCCGTAACAGGGCGCGCAGTGGGCCAAGTCTGTCGATCCCTCCACTTCGATTTCGTGGTCAATCGTCGAGTAGTCGCGGTGGAAGATGTGGGGTTGGTCGAGGACCGCCGTAATCTGACAGCTCGGTTGCGACGGGACGCGACGCAGCAACGTAGATTCGCAAGATTCGCAGTAGGGCGGCTGCAATGGCAGTGTTTGAATGACAGTGGAAAGAAACACAAAGGCGTGGGTCCGTCGTCGTGGTGCGAATGCAAAAGTGTCGGAGAGGGCGCAGGGATAGGAGGTCTTGGTGAATTGGCCGTCGAGAGGGCGTGTGCAGGCGTTCGGTCGCGGATGATATGCAGGAACACGCGCAGTCTAGGTGGAGGGGTGGGCGAGGAAAGTCATGGGAGTCGAGGGTGCTTTTGGCGGGACAGAAGCAAACAAGTAGCAGCAGCGAGTCGTGAGGAAAGGCGGAATATTGGATTATACCTGAGCGGGCTGGCGTACATGCAGGCGATGACGAACGATAGGAGATGGTGGACGTCCTGGCAGGGAGCGTCGCAAGGGCAGGTGCACGCGAGGGCTGGGGACCGAGGCGCCTGTAACGTTGACAGCTGCACTCTGAAACAAGACGCTGTCCGGGTTTTCGGTCGTCAGCGTCTGGACAGGTGGACGAGTATCACGACGATCCCGCGATAAAAGACGGCAGAGCTGGACAGAATGCGCCTTCGGGGAGACGTCTGGGCCTTGGTGTGCGCCAGTCCGGGGTGCGACGCCATGATGTGCGCGCCCTCCCGGTAATGATGCGCGCGCCGGCTTGGATGCGTCGTGACATTCGGCGACGTAGCATGGAAACTCTTCTTCCCGTCCCGCGGACCCTCGATTGCTGTGCATCATTGCTGTAGCGAGCCCTATTGCCCAGTGCACTAGCTTTCTCGTGGCAGTTCGTGCGAAGAGCTACCATCGTGGCGCAGGCAGCATCTTGGCACGACCCCAGCGCTGCTGAAGAGATACACACCTGGGCACATTTCGCACCTCTGTAGATGATGCCCAACCGGCTTGTGCAGGTGCGTTGCGCCCGAGCAGCTTCGACGCTCCATGGCATGCTGACTGGCTGCACTTCCACTCGTCTAATCTTGTAGAGTTTTGCGAACAAGCTCAAGACCAGAATAGATCCTTGTCCGTCTCGGCAATCTTTGCAGTGTCACAGCACCTGCCACCCTGGAACACCTGCCGGCGCCTCCACACGCACTCCTAAGCTGAGAGGAAACGCTTTCTCCTTCTTCCATACCAGTCAACATGGCTGTTTCGTACTTCTGCTGCAGCATTCGAATAAGCCTCAGCTCACTAGTACCGAGCAGCGTCTGAGAAGGAACGCCCAGCAGGCAGCCGTTTCAAGCGCGCATGTACCTGTCGTTCGCGTTGTATACCCGACAATCAACCGCTCATCACTCGCCCCACCATCGCTTCTCGACGATCGTCTCTCGTGCCGGCCTGCCCGAAACTAACACCTCAGCTTGCCCATGGCCCTGGAGCGCCAAACCGCCACGCTCCCACCAGCACAGCCCACTGCCATTCTCCGCGGCCATGCCTCGCACATCCACGCAACTTTGTTTGTTCGCCAGAACAGTCGTTTGTTGACGGGCGACGCAGATGGCTGGGTCGTTCTCTGGAATGTTCAGACGAAGCGACCAACTGCTGTCTGGCCAGGTCACGATGGCCCCATCCTAGGCTTCGCCCAATGGGGAGATGCAAAGATCGTAACGTGCGTGTCACTGTAGCAAACTACCAATCACCCTATGACTAGCCCACGTCTGCCTGTCGAGCTCTACTAACGTCAGATCGCGGACACAGACATGGACGAGACAACAGAATAAGAGTCTGGCGACTTGCACCCGAAGACGAGACAGAGAAACTTTCATCAACATTACCTGAAGATGGGAACCGAGAACATACGCCCAAACCGTGGCTTCTTCATTCGCTTCCCGTCAACACTCTCAACTTCTGCACTTTCTCCATGGGTTATCAGCATCCTCCAGCCTCCATTTCAGAGGATGATTCCATCTTTGTGGCAGTCCCGTCAACGGACGACAAGGTTATCGACGTGTATAGCTTTCCTGGCGAGCTACTCAAGGTCAGGATCCCACAGATACGAACCGTCGAAACAGGCATGGTTATGGCCGTGCAATTTGTTCGCAATAGAGCCACGCAAAGACTTCTCCTGCTCGCAGGGTATGAAGGCGGAGTCACTGCAGCATTCAAGCTGGCTGAAGAACACCCCGACACGAGCGTAGGAACCGCCCAGCTTGTTTACCTTGGTCAACCCCATTCTCAGCCAATTCTGTCGTTGGACGCTTCGCCAGAGGGCGACTTTTATTACACATCCTCGGCAGATGCTATAATAGCCAAGCATCAGATACCGGAGTTGCCATCCATTCCAGGTAAAGAAGACAATGAGCTATCTGTACCGTCTTCGGATCCTTTCACAAAGCAAAATGTTGATCAGGCGAGCTCCAAGAAAGCGACACCCAGCGGTCTATCTTCACTGCTTTCGTCGGCCGCACCGCTACCGAAGTTCAAGCCTGCTCCGCCAGTCCAGAAAGTGGTCAGCCTACAAGCCCCGTACAAAACAACAGACACCAAACACGCAGGTCAACAGTCGCTCCGTGTCCGCTCGGATGGCAGGCTTCTGATTACCGGTGGTTGGGACTCACGGATCCGCATATACAGCACCAAGACGCTCAAGGAAGTTGCCGTGCTAAAGTGGCACAAGGAAGGTGTCTACTCCACTGCATTCGGTGAGATTCTTACACAAGATGAGATAGGGTGCGGAGATGGGGCTGTCAACAAGCGGCAAAGAGACCGTGAGGAGCAGTCGAAGCTTAAACACTGGGTCGCTGCAGGAGCTAAAGACGGGAAAGTCAGTTTGTGGGAAGTGTTCTGAGTTGCTGTGTGGCCTTGTCATGAGATTTGGAGTACGCCGACCGTCCCATGATGACGCATGTATACAAATAGATGTATTGTAGTATAAAATGGCACGTTAATAGCAATCTACCAAGCAACTGTCAGAGTCGGTGGTGCTGATGGATAGCGAATCGGAGGTGATGGTGCGCCGGCGTGGCTTCCCCACAAGAAGCCGAGGCATAGCGACCGGGGAAGTGGGCCTGCGATGTCACCGTCCATCGTCGCGACGCTCCATGCCTGCTTCACCATGTCGTAGTAACAGTGCCAACGTGGACTGACACGAAATCAAAACACTCGAAAAACTCCATCTCCCGAGATCGATTCCTAAACGCGTCCTTCCCATGCGATACGCGCTTTCCGCCGCACCCTTTCCCTAAGGAGACGCTCCTTGCATATCCCACATCCGCATTCCAATCAGCATGGCCTCCTCAGACGAGGACCGGAAGTCCTCCACCGCGCGCCCCTCCAGCCCCGAACAAGCTCCCGATCTCAGCATCACGGCCGACGACAATGTCTACCTGCACGCAGCCGGCTACAACGAATCGCCCGACCGCGGCCTTATACACAGCTTCGCGCGCTTCCGATCCTCGCCGCTCGATTTCATTCGCGAAGTCTCGCTACACTTCTCAGGGACAGGATGGAGGTCTTTTGACGATCACATTGGGCAGCCAGAGTTCTACCCGGGCTTTAGCGAGGATATGAAGGCGAGGGTGTTGAGCAACCCAATGCTCGTCGCCAAAGTGCGCGAGTTGGCGAACAAGAGGGTAGAGGTTGAGGCGAAAGAAGGGCTTTTGGGCGAGGATGCGATGCATGGGGTTGGTGTCGGCGAGAAAGATAAAAAGGCAAAGAGGAGGGTGCAAATTGAGGAATCGCTTATGCAAGTCAGCGAGGGCTGGACGGACTCCATGATCTGCAAGATGGAAAGCAAGGGCTTCATAAGAGGCGCATACTATTTCGCTACACAACTCTTGACAAGAGCATACCACCAGGGCGTCCACGTCTCGAGCGAGGAAGTGCTACGCCTGCGCGCTGTCGCCGAGAAGGCAGCGAAAGACAAGCACTCCATCATCTTCCTTCCGTGTCACCGCTCGCACGTAGACTACGTCTCGCTACAAATCATCTGCTATCGGCTGGGACTCGCTTTGCCCACAGTCGTGGCTGGTGATAACCTCAACTTCCCAGTCGTCGGGTCCTTTCTACAGCATGCCGGCGCTATGTGGATACGAAGGAGCTTCGGGGACGATCAGCTGTACATTACACTTGTACAGTCCTATATCGATACCCTGCTGCAATGTGGATACAATTTGGAGTGCTTCGTAGAAGGAGGGAGGAGCCGTACAGGCAAGCTCCTGCCGCCCAAGTTCGGCATACTGAGCTATATGCTCGATAGTATCGCGAGCGGCAGGGTGGAGGACGCGATTATTTGCCCGGTATCGACGCAGTACGATAAGGTCATCGAGGTTGAGTAAGTCTTTCGAGCAGCTTGATACGAGAAAGAATACTAACACACCCCAGCTCATACATTAGCGAACTCCTCGGTCAACCCAAACCCAAAGAAAACCTCATGGACTTTCTGTCCGCTTCCAGCGTCCTCTCCCTTAAACTCGGCCGCGTCGACGTCCGATTCCACGAGCCGTGGTCACTCAAATCCTTCATTAATCAGCAACGCGAACGCTTCTCTAAACTTCCCCAGCAACTCGATACCAAAGAAGACCGACTCCGCCTCCTCCGCACACTGGGCTACAAAGTTTTGTCAGAGATCAACGACGTCTCAGTTGTGATGCCCACCGCTCTCGTTGGTACCGTCTTACTAACATTAAGAGGCCGTGGTGTAGGCAAATCAGAACTCATCCGCCGAGTCGAATGGCTCAGCGACCGGGTGCGAGCACAAGGTGGCCGTGTAGCACACTTTGGCAATCTCCCCACTAGCGTTGTCGTCGACCGCGCTTTAGAAGTTTTGGGACCTGGGCTTGTTGGCCTGGTCCCCGGATTACCAGAAGACACATTCTACGCCGTGGACAGGTTCCAACTCTCCTTCTACAGGAATATGACCATTCATCTCTTCATCTTACAAAGTCTGGTCAGCGCAGCACTATACACACATGTAAAGCAGGGTGGTGGCCCGGAGTATCAACGCATGTCTTACGGCGATCTACGTGCGCAGGTGCACTTCCTCTCACAACTCTTCCGCGGAGAGTTCATCTTCCCCACCGAAGGTCTAGATAATAACCTCGCCAAAACACTTGAGGGACTAGAAAAAGACGGTGTCATCACCATGTCACGATCAAAAACCGAGCTGGGCGAAGAAACGGTGGACTTCATCGAATTATCACCTGCTGAACGGACCCAAGGACGCGAAAACTATGACTTCTACTGTTTCCTCATCTGGCCGTTTATCGAAGCTGCATGGCTTGGTGCCATCAGTCTGATGATGCTCACTCCCCTCTCGTCATCCGCTACTACATCACCGTCTTCATGGCTCGACCTCAAGAAAGTTCAAGATCGCGCACAAGTCCTCGGCAAGACTCTCTACCACCAGGGCGACCTTTCCTACTTCGAGGCTGTAAATAAAGAAACACTGAAGAATGCGTACACGCGCTTCCAGGAAGAAGGCATGATTCTTGTTACCAAGTCCAAAGATAAGACGCCCGCCACTATCAGACTAGCAGAGGAGTGGACTCCCCAAAGAGGGTCGAACGGCGGCATCATCGCCGATGGACCATTATGGCGCTTCGCTGAGCGCATTAGTGCTTCGCGAAGAGAAGGCAAGAATCGGCGCGATGGAGCGACAGTTCAGACGAGGGTTTTGGCGCTGGCGGATCTGGTCGGTGAGAAGCTTTGGGAGGATGCAGTGTTTGATAGAAAGGAGTTGGATGGCGATGAGGTGGGTGCTGTTGAAGGGAAGGCGAAGAGCATGCGGAAGAGAGGGAACATGGCGCGACTTTAGTTTGCTTGTTGTATGATTCTTCGTGTACTTTAGCTTTGGGAGATATACCATTTGATCATTGGTTCCATTCCATGGGCACAAGAATTCCGCTTCTGCTCATGATGTTCTTCTCGATCAGGGAGACGAAGCATGGACCGTGATGTAAGTCGCAAGGTTCTACACGTCCAACACATCGCCAACAGTGGTTGTATGCGAATACAAGAACATATACTCCTGTTGTACAACGGTAAATGGACGGCCGGATGGCTACGCATCACTCGTGGTGTTTAGTCGTTCCTACGAAACAGCCATGAGTTCTCGTGGAGACCTTACATATGCCTCACTTCCCTGTCTTGAGTGTATGTGGCGCTCAAAAGTCGGTAAGACACCCGTCTTACTCCAAGGGGTGACGCATAGTTATTCTCTCAACCCAAGGTGATATTGACGCTAGGTAACTCCGGGGCCTCAAGAATGAGGTTTTATGACTAGACTTCATATAAAGCTGCCTCATATATTCTCTCTCGATACCATATCTCCTTCCTTCTTTCGTCAACAGCACTCCCGCTTGCTGAGCGTACAGTCAACCACACCAGTAAGCTGAGCCTGTTCTTCCCTCTGTTCGACAAGATACTGACAGCAATCGCAGCTACCCGCACAATGCCTAGTTGCCCACGTTACACCAAAGAGCAGTTGCTCGACATGCTCCAAAAGCAGATCCCCAATGCCATAGTAAAACTTCCAAGACCAGATGCCTTCACATTTCAGTCGTTGCCGGACGGAAAGTCACAGCTCTGCATCGGCACCTACGTCGAAGGACTGAGTGACCCCACCACAGATGAGTTTTGGGTTGGCTGTGGCGGCACAGCGAAGCCCTGGTTGGCCTTTGACATCGGTAAAAAAGACCAATTTTTCCATGGTGATGCATTCTTCAAGAAGATGACCAAGAGCGGACAAGTCTATTTGTTCGGTGATGGGCTCAAGGCTATAGTCGCCTTTGTCTTTGTCTACTGCGACAAGATGGAAGAATTCTGCGACTTTCAATTTGGCAAGGGCTTCAACATCCTGGTCGAAAAACTCAGGTACATGTTCCCTGAAGTCGAGGAGAGCGCTCTGTCTGGAAACGGCACGGAAGACGCCGGTAGTGTCTCTGCTAAAATCTCAGACGCGGACGCAGACGTGGTCAAGACTCTCGATGACGACCAATCTGCAGGGGAGAAGCCCGAGGAACAACTTGTGAAACCGTTGGACGATGTCCTCCCTAAGAAGCCCAAGAAGCGAGCGCTCAGCGTCGACACCGACACCGACACCGACGAGCACTCGGTGGAGAGGAAGCTCCGCGTTGAGTAGGCACTCGACTTTGCGCTATGCTATTGTAAGTTACTCAATCTTGTTACGGACTGCATAAAAACACTAATCGTTCTCCCAGGCTGCCGAGAGCTGGGAGTGGGGAAAAGTGATCGATGGCTAAGAAGCTTCCCTACCATACTAAAAGTTGGTGAAGCGAACTGAGATGGGTCCTGTGGCTGGAAGAAGATATGACTATTGCAGAGGTCTCATGGAAGGAGCCTTACTAATGATTCATCATTCTCAATTAGGGTAGCTCTGAATTCCATGGCTTCGAAAGATGCCAATTGCATTCAAACCATCTTCTTCTTCTCTTCAGTTCTTTCGTGCTTTCACCGTATACACGGTAACAACCGAACACTCTGGAGTCTCTATTGATGCCAGTCTTCTGATTTGTTTGTTATCATTGCAGTGTAGTCTGCAAACCCGTTCGACTATTTCTTGTCTGAGGGAAGACAGCTATCATGGTTGGTTGGTAAGAACTGCCTAAATTACGATGCGCGTTGAGCTTGGTCTAGACAGAGCACGACGACTGCAGTCAGGGAATGCAGAGGAATGATCCAGACTGAATAGAGTCTCTCCAAGAAATCTCAACACATTTCAAATCTCCAGGGCTGTTGCTTCGTTCCCGTACTCCTGTGTCGTGACCTTGTAAAGTCTCCATGTAGTGACTGCGACTCAATCACGGTCGCTTGGGGAAGATACTCGATAGTCGCAATTGCATGTCGCGCTTGATACTTAGCTTTCCGGATATGTAGATAATCGCTATACCGTCTCCAGTTCGCGGCTTCCAGAGACGCGACGAGTGACATCACGCAAGCACGCGTTCAGCGCTACGCCGAAAACAGAAAGATGCCTGCTTAGCGCGTCACGCTTTCAGCGGGATGATGCGCCCCGCCATCTCAATTCCACGCAAGCAGGATAGTGCAGAACGCCCGCTCGGCAACCATGATGGACTCCGAGGATGTGCTGGATCTATACGACATTGCTGTCTTACTCAACTATGAACGGAACACTACGGAACCTCGGCTTCGACACACGAAATTGAGAGAAGTCGCTTTCCCGGGTACACAACCGAAGACGGTCGCACTCAGCAGTCCAATCGACCAAGGCTGGAACAACAACGCGTCGACTTGGATCGTATTGGATCAGCAGCAGACCAACGATCCCGATACCCCAGACTTGCCCACGGAATTCATACCACCGAACAAACGCAAGGATAGCGCACTCTCCAACGAGCAACTAGAGACGCTATTCCATCAAGCACGCAATCACGATGGCTGTTACCAGGCGATTAGTCTGCTTCAGATCTTCTTTGCACTGTTCTCCGAAGACACAAAGTTGAGGGTGAGACATGCGCCTAGTGGTAAGCAGCCAGGCATGTCTTATACGACAACAGTCAGTAGTCGTGTCATTGTCGAAGAGTCCTTCCGTGACCCAAAGTTTACCACGGCTATCTGCGTACTCCCACAGGGCGCAATGTTTGTCAGTGGGCACCAGCCACAACTGCTGCATGCCGTCGTAGGTTTCTCTCCGCTCGATAGCGACACGGTTCAATCCTTCTTCGATCTCTCATCCATGCAGTTCGGCGATATAGGACGCGGACCTGGGCCGAAGGGAAAGCAGCTGTTCGCTCTGGATACCCCCGAGGAGTTTGCCCTGCGTTTCAGTATGTTGGCTAAGGGTACAGATCCTAGCAAGAGCGACCGCACTCTAGCGATCAGTGGTACACCTGTAGACGATTGGCTATGGGAAGTGGCGATGAGGACGAAAAAGAGGTGGATGAATAGAGCGACGGAGAAATGGTGTGGTCACTGTGGAGCACCAGGTGCCAAATCCAAGTGTGCTGGATGCGGCGAGGCGTACTATTGCGGCAAGGACCATCAAAAGTTAGCTTGGGGATATCATAAAGGATATTGCGGGAAGCCTTGATGAAAGTTCTGACGAACGCAGAACCTGCAAATTAACGGACATTTCGTAGAACGTCTTAAACTTGGTGGGTCATATAACAGGGGGGGTATAATTCATCAACACTAGAGTTGTACCTAGAGTTGTACTGCACTTCAAATGTACATCCATCTCTCCATCCACTGTACGGCACGCAGTATCAGACTGTGCAAGACAGCACAAAGACATGAACTGCTTTCCAGGACGATGGCCATATCATCCACGACCGAATGCAACACTACTGTACTCACATCCTCCCACTCGGCAACTCATTAATGGTGGCTGGAACTGGCGGCGACATAGCTGGGGAGTACTGCGGTACAGGGCTCACTGGCCCGTCCGAATAGTGCGGGTTCGCCTGCACAGGATTCACAGCACCTGATATTTTCTCCGGCATCGCATAGCCACCCTGCTGCGTAGCATACGCAGACTGAGCATTGGGGTCATAGAAATGTTGCGCGGGTTGCTGTGCGTTCGGATCGTACTGACCGTAGTGCTGTTGGTGTTGAGGCGGTGGAGACGGCATCTGTTGCATGTGTTGCTGAGGGACGGGCTTCTGCTCGTGGTAGTACTGGACACCGGCTGGTGGAGCTTGAGGTGCGGTGGGTGGCTGCTGCATGTTGTTGTTGACGGTGGTATTGTTCTGTTGCTTCTTCTTGCGGCGAAGAAGGAAGAAGACTCCGAGAACTACAGCGGCTAGAAGAGCGACGCCGCCGATTACTCCACCGGCGATTGCGCCTACTGGAGTTGACTTCTTGGAATTGTTGGAATTGTTGGATTCGTTGGAGTTGTTGGAGTCGTTGGAATCTTCGTTACCGGAGGAAGGTGTAAGGTCAAGTGGTGCATCTGAGGGACGACCGGAAGCGGTACGTGAGAGTGGAGTGAAGGACAGAGAGATTGGGGTATTCGAGGATGAGCCAGTGTTAGGGGAGGTTGATGAATCTTGGAAGTGTGTTGTCAGTCAATGCTTCATCAAGGTTAGACAGATTGCATACCTTGGTCTGGGGTGGTTACTAAGATCCTTCCTCCCGTTTCCGTCTTAGCATCGCACCAGTAGTTGGTCAATGGTGAAGGGTCATTGATATCTGTTGCCAGCTCCCAGTAGCTGCAAGTTAAGTTTGAGCCTCCACTGCGATGCCATGTTAGTATACAATATCCAGGCGACCAGGAGCCAGAACGCACCAGAAGACCGATGTAGTCGGATACACAACGTAATCGCTCTCACAAGAAAAGAACTCGCAAAGAGATTCTGGCGCACAGATCTTGTAAAGGCTACCTGATGTTGCGATGACATGACCCTCGTTATTTGCGGTGATGGTGTCATCTAAGACTTCTTAGCAACAATCGAGCAGCCATGTAGGTAATCAATCTTACACAGTGTACTCGAGCCATACATGCCCGTGGAAATATATCCAAGGGTAGTAACATCCCTAACAGCCAGTGCTACAGCTGTTGCAGCAGGGGCGGGCGTGACAGCAGGCGTCGGTGCCCGTATCATAGCAGTGCTCCCATACTTTGCGGAAAAGAGAACGACCAGCAACGAAGAAAGCCTGGTATATGCCATGACGTTTCAGACCCGAGAAATTACAAAACGAGGAACAGAAAGCACCCTTAAGGAAAGAGCAGGGCCCTACAAGCTAAGTACTCATACCTAGGTACGTTGAGCTACGTACAATGAGAAAGACATTGCGCCGTAAGGCGTGCAGCGACCCGCTGGGGCTTGCCGGCTGCGGCCACACATACGAGGAGAGCGTATTGAAGGCTGATCAGCTGAGAATTTGTGCATTTGGGTTCCATGAAAGCGTTCGGTTGGACGTGCTTGTTGTACATGCAGGATTGCTGCAATACTTGCACCACACCTACGCTTTTCCTGCTCATTCTTTCCGTTACTGCATCATCTCAAGCACAGTTGTTCAGTATTTCCACAAGGTGTTCGTCTTGACGCTAGACGCAATGGTGACCGCTGCAGGGACAACGGATGTGTAGCTAGCATGGGGTAGCGAGCTGAAGAAGAAAGAAACAATCCGCCTCGCTTGTGTAGCGCCGCGATAGGCTGTAAACAAGCCGCTTGCAGCCATCACCACCGTGCGCTTTACCTCTTTAATATGAACACCAGGCACGTCGGATGTCTTGGTCGCCAGATAATCTCACCGGAAAGCCATGTGTTGTGCGACGCGGCAGAGTCGCATGTAGATCCCCATCGTGGCCGTGAACTGCCGAGGTAGGGTTTGAGGCGCAATAATTAACAAGCCTTCTCATGTCCCAAATGACAGCTGCAAGTGATGAGCTTGTGCACGATCGTATCATTGGGAGTCTTTTGGTGTTTGGTGCAAATCGAGGCCTGCAAGCTTTGGTTGCCTACATAGCTTTGAGAACAGGTGGTAGTCGGTCCGAAAGCCCTACACGATGGTCACATTTGGCCCCCAAAAGCTTTAATGAGTCAGTGCCGCGGCAAGCAGATTTCGGTTGGGGGTCCTTAGGGTGGCTTGGAACAGAGTGGGGATAATAGAGGAGTATCTTGCACGTGGGCTTGGAGCCTTCATTACGCTGTCGTTATCTTTTCAGTCGGGTCTATCTCCTCTTGACGCCAGGACATCTAATGTCCATGGCCATCGTCACCACCTCCACCTTGCTCCTCTGGATCCAGCTTGATCAGGGTATCGATACGCATAATCGCAACACACGCCTCCACTGCTGACTTCAATTGCTTGACTTTGCTCATGCTGGGTTCCAGTACACCGGCCTTTAGGCAGTCGTGCACTTTACCGTTTGACAGGTCCAGACCGTAGTTCTTGTAGTTCTTCGACTTGGCCAGCTGCTTTGCGTCTTGCGACGAAGGGTCTGAAGGGTTCACTGTCCGCTGTGAAAGAGCGTGCCGTGATCGGAGGTTGGCGACGAGCTCGGTAGCATCCTTGGCCGCGTTGATGGCAAGTGTCTTAGGAATAGCAAGCAGAGACTGCGCAAAAGCAGCAATGGCCAACTGTTCCCGAGAGCCCTAGATTTATCGTTAGTCACGTTGTAGACATGCAAGGATTGGAGTGACTTACCACTGACGTTGCCCACTCTTCCAAGTAGATGTGCAACGCAGTTTCAACGGCACCTCCACCAGGGACGATGCGGCCGCTCTCGAGGGTTCGCTTCACGGCTGATAATGAGTCGTGTACTGATCGCTCCATCTCGTCCAGAGCGTAGTCGTTCGCACCTCGCAGGATGATGGATGCGGATGAGAAAGCCTTGGTGCCCTTGACCAGAATGCACTCGTCATCGGAAATGCGCTCTTGCGAAACCTCCTCAGCATGGCCAAGGTTTGCTGCCTCAAACTTCTCGTCACCGTTCAGATCAGAAAGGGTGCTGACCAGGGTTGCACCGGTCGCCTTCGCTATCCTTCGCAGATCCTCCTTCTTACACCTTCGCACAGCCATGGCACCCTTCTCAACGAAGTGCTTGAGGCAGAGGTCGTCGATACCCTTTGTAGTCATGATGACGTTGGCGCCAGCCTTCAAGATCATCTCAATGCGCTCGGTGACAATGCCAGCTTCGCGCTCTCGGATCTTCTCTAGCTGCTCCGGGTCGTCGATGGTGATGTGAACACCCAACTTCATGCGCTCCTTCTGCAAGTTGATGTCCAAGCAGGCAATCTTGGCGTCGGTGATGCGCGTCTTCATGGCTTGCGAGGCGACCGTGCAGTTGAGAGCGTAGCCCTTGACCAGTATCGACTGAGTCGCGCTTTGACCGTGTGCTTTGAGGATGTTGACAGCCTTTACAGGGTATTTGACCTCGCCCTTGTTGTTTGTCATCTTGACAGCAGTCATGCCGTCTACCACCATGTTGGCGAAGAAGTCGGAGTCGGAGCCGATGATCTTGCTGGACATGGACGTCTTCGCGATGTTGACTAGCGAGTCCCGACCGAGCGCATCGACCTTGGTGCTGATGTTCTCGTTCATGTACTTGACCGCCTCCCTCAGCGCCAGCCTGTAGCCTGTGATGATGGTGGTGGGGTGGATTTTGTTCTTCATGAGCTCGTTCGCTCTCCGCAGCAGCTCGGCCGCTATTATGACGACGGAGGTTGTGCCATCTCCGACTTCCTTGTCTTGTTGTTGGGCCAGGTCGACGAGGATTTTGCCTGCGGGGTGCTCGATATCCAGCAAACTGAGGATGGTAGCGCCGTCGTTGGTTACGGTAACGTCACCGATGTCGTCGACCATCATCTTGTCAAGACCCGAGGGTCCAAAGGACGACTTGACGACATTCGAGATCGCTTGGGTCGCGAGGACGTTTTGGTCGCGAATGTCCTGGCCGCTGATTTTCTGGCCGCCGAGGACTGCACGTGTTAGCTTTTTGCGGCGGTCTTGTTAGCTTCGGCGGCTTACACAGAGTTCCTCCGCTACGTGACTGCTCGAAGATTCCTGCCATTGTGTCGGGTGATAGCTGTTCTGCTTCGTTGTTGCTGCCTCTACGCGGTCCAGAAAATCTCCAGCAATGCCCGCCCGCGTCGGCGACGGCGAATGGTAGCTCCGCCCGTGAATCGCGCTAGTCTGGACCCCTGCGCCGATGACTCGGCCCTCCACACATTTGGCTGTCGACTCACACGAGACTGCAACGAGCCGACTCTGTCTTAGCTTTACGTGACTCTAGAGTGCTCTCGCCTTATATTGTTTGGGTTCCCCACCGTCTCTTTAACTTGCCATAACTCAATTGCACGTAAGTAGTCCCAAGTCGCGTCTTGATACCCCGCCTGCCCCACCAACTCACCCTGTTTACAAATGGGTTTGGCTAGAATATCTATACGAC